AAACAAGAACGACAACAAAACAACAAGAGCAAGAACAACAACAAAATAAAGAAGTAAATAATATTTCCACGACAGATAATGTATAAGCTAGTTATTCAGACAAAATACAGTAAAACCAACCACATTTCATAACTTGACAATTTGTATTTAAGCTTTTATTTTAAACGGTAGCTATTTCATTTGATTTTGCCTAACAACATGCACTTGAATAACCGAAACATGAATGATCATTAGAGACACCATTAACATTGTATAAACTTGCACAATAATCAACAACTGTTTTCTAGACTGAATAAATAGAATAACACCTAAAGAATGTGTTCGACTGAACCTTTTGAGACGCAATATGTTTCCTTAAACCAAACTGCTGTGACATGTTTGGAATGAGTGAAATATGTAATATGTCAAAATAAGACAAAAATATAAACAATGAACATCAATAATGTCTCAAATATCCAGCGATGGCAAAGTACGACTTAAACCGCACATATAGAACAATTGTCAAATTGTTAATTCGACGGTATTAACGGAGAACCAAAAGAAAGAGTCCATGCAATCGCATTCAGGAATATAAACTGCTAAATATGTTGTAAAACGTGATCCCTCGGAAGCAATAAAACGGCAAAATTACATGAAAATTGCAGACTCGGTTTAATTGAGTCTACACATGAGGGATAATGAAAAGGTGCAACATCCCTCGCGACCTCCCACCATCGGCTTTAGCGACACTTAAAAGTGCTAAGTTTGCTTATTACAATATACTGTCACTCCTACAAATTAATATAGCTTTAAGTACTTGGTTCAAGTCAGCTGTTCTCTAATAAAATTGGATTTTTTAAAATGTCGAAAGATGAATATTTACAAATTTCAACAAAGACAAAATACTGGGACCTCGTTCATTTCTAACACGATATTATACATGTATTATCACATTACTGTAAGTATAGCCTGAAAGACGACATCAGTAGACAGTGTGAAAAATATCAACGAAATATCCCTACAGGGCTTCTTTGGTTATTCATTCGGGTCTGATATGCTAATACAGGCTTAAACATCCATTAGTTTTCGTGCCAATAAAAACCAAGTTGTTCACAATATTGATTACTAACGGATGTATTTTAACAATTTTGTCAGCGATGGCAAGTTTCTTTCTCGGAACGCTATTTAAGTATATTTTCATCGCCAATTTCCGGTATGAAGCATGAGTTATCTCAGTGGCTGCTTACAGTTATATGAAATACATTTGAAATCATAAATACACAACTTTCAGTGACATTTCAAATAATTTTGTTTATATACACAGATGATATAAATGTTTCGATCAAAGTTTCACAAATGGAAACCGGTTTTATTAACGTATAGTTAAACTCCTCTATTAAGACCAGCAATGGGACTGGGCCAAAGTGGTCTTTATTGCGAGTCTCATTAGTGAATACAATTACCGAAGACCATTTTTTACTTTGGCAATATATATACATGATATATAAGGACTTGTTCAAAGTTTATATACTATAACCTTCAAATACGAAAAACAAAAGTATGTAATACTTATTTATTATGAGATATTGGAGCAGTTTGATATTAAAGAATACATTTTTATAGGCGTTGTTTCAATATTAATTAAGGTACATAATTCACCTATACGTCTTCACAAAATAAATGTTCAGAAAGCAACATAAAACCACTTTTGCCTTTCTTTTTAAGATATCTAAATTATTACAGTTTAAACATCAAGTTTCATCAAGTGTCATGCCTATGAGCATCGAAACATATAATAACAGCAAACTTGTAATCTAAATTGGTGTTTTCAATTCAGTGGTCTTTAAAGTGGGATTGAGTAAAGATTAAAACATTGCATTGGGACTAAAACATGCGGTCTTAATTGTGGCTAAGCGATGTGGTTTTAAATGTTGATCGTGTAAAACAGAAAATTCTGTTCTTTTGAAAATTTTCCTTAATAGCGATGTGTTTTAAAAAGGGTTTTTTAAAAAGAGTTTTTACTCTATAATATTCCTGTACCTCATTAACATACTCAATGCAATGACAATGGTTTTTAACTCTTTAACTTAGCTTTTAATACTTGACATGATTCGACGTTTATTACTTGACATGATTCGACGTGAGTGTTGCAACCATGTTTTTGTTTTGTTTTTGATTTAGTACAACTTACTTCACTTCAATGTTGTTATATTTTTCTAGTCCTTCGGGATCATTGATGCCAGCACTATTTAATGTAAATAATTGAGTTCCGCTCAAGCCGGTGCTAGGGGGCATGAGTAATGTTGCATTCAATCATTATCCCTCATGTACAGACTCAATCAAATCGAGTCTGCAATTCTTATGTTATTTTATTTAGAGTAATGCTTCCGAGAAATCACTTTGTTTCGAGATCGTTTTTTGTTTTTTTTTGGCAACTGGAATTTCTTCAGCAGAAATGTTATTTTACATGCGCATACAAAGCACTTAGCAATGTTAAAAGGATATCATATTTTGACAGAAATGAATTGATCGCATGCTTTTTAATAGCTGCAGGAAATTAATACCACAATTATTTTGACATTTTTCAGACAGATATGGAAATCTTAATGAATTTCTTTCCTGCTTAGTGTGGAATTAATTATGACTCTATTCCGATTTATTCACAAAAGCAATTGAATTCACTATTTATTTTAAACAATTACGCATTTATCAGATTGTTAAATAAAATTTTTCCTTATAGAGCTATAACTAAAATACGAATAATTAATGCACCTAAACACGTCACGGTGAGTTCTTGCTAGGGTTCAATTACAATTGATTTAGTCGCCACAATTAAGTCACCTCCAAATGACATGCATAATCACAGTCTTCTGATCCATGTTATTCTTATATGTTGATCCTTCAATTGCCAATCCACTCTCCGGTCCCCTCTAAACATTATCTGTGTTTGTACCTTTTGGTTGATTGTCTCGTGATTTTCTTTTAAATTAGTGAATTACTTTTAATTATAAAAACGTCCCATCCGTGCTTTGCATATTTGCCCCTGCCTTTGACGGATGTTTGATCATTGTCTAATTATGCTAATTAAATCTGCAGTGTTCATATGAATACGTTTCATGGGCAATTCATATTCAAATAAAAGGACAGAGCCTGCAACACTTTCAATTATTTTTTCATTTTGGGCGTTCTTTAGGGATTCCGTTTTTCTAAATTTTAGTTCTTGAAAAAAAAATCAAAAACTTTATGTAAATTTCCGACAATTATTTTGGGTTAACCCTTTTTTATTATAATGCCACTGTTTTCTTATGATTTTGTTACGTTATGTTGTACATAAGGCCATATAAAATTAATCTTTAGACTCTCATCCAGGTTTCAAGAAATAATTGGGGCGGGTGGGTGGAATTTATAATTTATAATTTATTTTATCCATCACTTTTAAGACCTGAAAAAAACAGAAATGTATGAATAAACAAAAAAGTTTAAATCTGTATTTTAATGAGAATAATACTAAATGTTGTAAGATTATTTGTTACTTACAATCATCTTTTACATTTTTGTAGCTATGTGTTTTTATTAAACAGAACAGATACAGGTTTTCAATTGTCAAATAAATGTATAAATGTTAATTTCATTCATCTTGTATTTTATACCCAAAGTTCTATCTTAATAAAGAGCTATATAAATGTTACTGTCTCTTTCTTTTATATTATACCCAAAGTTCAGTTTTAATTCTGTATTAAAAGTACAGTATCCTAAGGGACTCCCCCTAAACTGTTCTGCTTAGCAGAATTTTTTTTTTCCGAAACACAAGTCTTTTGCCTAAAGTTTTACATGTATCACACAGAGGATAAAAGTCATTATCACCAGACTCTTCTTCTGCACCACAGTATATGCACAATGGTTCATAGCCAGCAGAATAATAGGCAAACTCTATATTCGCATTTATGACTTTTCTTGATAAACACCTGTTTGAGTATGTGATCGTCTTCACAGTCAATGTCTTCAAATGAGGAACCACATGAATATTCAAGCTCTGACAAAGACTTTCTTAACTGAATTCTCTGTGCTCCCTTTACAACTTTTTTACAGAAAATAAGACGAGACTTTTCACATTTACTACAAACTATAACCATATTCACATTTTTTGCAAACTGTGCTGTTGGAACAAAAGGCAATCCGTGTTTCTCAGAGGAAGTTTTCTTAATTGATGGTCTGTACTTCTCTGATGTGTTTTTTGCCATATAAGTCATCAAATGGTTTATAACGTTCACCATCACTAGGTTCTAGGTCAGGTAAATGACAAAGCTGCTCAAACACATCAGCCGGCAATCTTGGAGCTTTACAAAACTTACATGTAGCTAGACCACATTTTTTCACATAAAACATATAATGCCTAACCCTGCAATGCTTTTCTATGAAATTAGACAGTTTACATTTTGATTTCAAATCCTTTTGGGTTGTTTTATAAGGTTCTATATGTTCAATTTTGCCAATAGTTTTTGCTAAGTCACTGATTTCATCATCAGTTGCAGCCCTATGAGCTTTCAGATTGTTTCCTTTCCATTTTAATCTACGTATAACATCATACAGCAAAATTTTCACTGGTTCTATGGAATCTTTATCATACTGTACTATTTCAAGATCCTTTTCTGTAAGGTTCCTGACTTGATTCATTGAATTGCAAGATCTAAGTTTTCTTTCAATATCATCATGTAGATTAGACCTCATTAGACCTACAGACTGAAAGCCTAAATTTAAAACTAACATTAGTCTTTCAACTGGATTTTTCCAACTATTACTTGGTGGTATTCTCACTGCAACGAGCATGTCCAAGTCAGCTTTCAAGAACAGATTTATTAAGGTGATCTACACTGATCCATATGTTACTCTGTGATCAGTTCCTCCATACAGTATACATAGCTAGAATAGGTTTTTCAACATCCAAGAGTGGCAATACTTCTGCTGAATGCCTCCAAGGTGATGATGGCTCAAAAACCCCTTCCTTCAAAGTCACATATACATCACCTCATTAGAAGCTTTCATCAATACTACTTGGAATATCTACTTTTAATGTCACACTAGGGGTGATTGAAAATTTTGTGAAATCATGATCTCCCACTTCAAATGTTTTACCATTAGCAATCAAAACCGCTTTGCCCCTTTCAGCTGCAGCTACTGGGTAACCAGGTTCTCCAACTTTTAACTTATGCTTGTCATCCATACACACCATACTACAATGTTCTCTGTATTTTATGCAAAATTCTTTTTCATACCGAAATAGTGCTGATGCATAATGCATGTCTTCATGACTATGTCTAAATTGCCTACTTTGTATCATGAATTTAACTTTCAAACGGCCAGAATATCGTTCTGATGATTTATGATGTGTATTTCTTGGCCAGAATTGAAGTTTTAACCATTGCTTTGATGCAACAGGTGTGTTTGCTGGACATTTTAGTTTTACTTGCTCATAAAAATCTGACACAGAAAAAGCATCTGCGAAGTGCGTTACTATGTCATCACCACCTTTTAATACCTTATCATGTCTCCGATCATCAACTGCAGTTTCCAGACTAGAAATAATATGTTTTTGACACTGCCATAAGAATTCATCATACTGTTCTGGACGCCCATTATTAACTCTTAAGTCACAAATGAGGTCGGGGTCATCATGCTCTAAAATATCAGCAATACGTTTATCAACTTCATTTGTTGCTGCATTTATACTTGCTCGACAGTCACCTGTTAATCGTCTGTATGCTTCTCTCAAGAAACCTGCTCTGGAGTCAATTTTTCTACCAAACAAGCTCAAAAATTCACGTCTCATGGCTTTGGTATGATCAACTGGTAGACTCTTTTTTATATTTGTGACAATATTCATGTTTTTACTCAATACCACACTTTCACTGTCCTGTGTTTCAACTCGCCACAGAAATGTTAAGTGTTCTTTAGCCCCCGAATATGTGTACTTTATACATTTAACAGGCATCACCAAGTTTTTTATGTATTCATGTCGACGTCTAGCATCACCAGGCGCATATTCATTCAGCAGCAGATGCTCATATGGCTTGCATGACATCAAAGCAGAATGTAGAGTTTTATACCTGAAATGTTAAAATAATGATTTTTTTCACATAGGCTTACCACAGAACAGTGAGTTCAACATTTTTCCTATACTACACTGAGCATATTTTTTTTTCATAAAGGGAGATAATAAGTTTGCAGTGTATTTTCTGTTACAAAGAGAACTACAATTAAAAACAATTTGAAACTATCCTTGTCCTATCAACTTTTATATTCATCCATCTGAAAAAAGTAAAATACTTAGTATTTAATATTCTTAAATATAAATTTTATCTCATTTGCATATCAATTTTTTGTAAATGATAATTAGGCCTTTAGGGAGGTTTTTGTATATTATCATGTACAGTAATTCAGTTGCTTTTAAAAGCATAAAACTAATACATGTTCCAGACACAGTTTACTTTATCAGACTTAAAAAATGTAATATTATCTTTTAATATAATCAGTTTCTGTATAGAACTAGGCTAAATGGAAATATACCTGCTATAGGGACCAGGTGCAATGTTGTTTTTCTGGACGAGGACCTCAAATGTGTCTTTGTCAGTAGCCTTCTGCTTCTTAGACTCTGGTTCATCTTTCTCTTTGGAAAGATATGTTGCATACTTCAAAAGGCTGTTGGCCAACTCGGTCACAATCTGAAAATAAAATATTTCTTTACTTTCTTCATTCTTTTGATCTTAATATATACAAAATTCCTACTGCTGAGAAATGAACAGATTTCATCACAAAAGTAAGTTTATATTTCAGACAGTTATAGCATGTGTGAAAAGAAATATGTAAAAGGTACAAAATGCAGACATTTTTAAATATTTTAAAAATAAAAGATATTTTCATACATATACACCATCACAATATTAAAAAGCAAACTTTTTTTCTTTTCTTTTTTTAGATATTCTTAAGTCAGAGGCACTTCACACACACTCTTAAAAAAAACGTTTGATACTTTGATACTTTTGTAACATTTTTCCTTTTTCTTATTTAGCAAATATTAGAAATCCAAGCAATATTTAAAAGCAAAATTATGCTAAAAAATATAAACCTCTTTCACAGATGTCCACATTTCTCTCTTCATAAATGCACAATCTAAGACATGAAGTAAAGCTGTGTAATGATCCCTCAGTTTAGCTTCAGTCAGATAGTCTGCTTGAACCTTTTTCCTTTTTCTTGATGCAGGCTTGTAGTACCCACTGAAATGCTGTAGAGCATCGGGAATAGCACAGCCACGGTCTGAAAGTGTTTTGTGATTTCCATCCAGAAACCACATTACATCTGATAAGATGTTAATCAAGTTTTCACCAAGGGTCTTCACGTTTGAAGAAACGAAGCCTACTTTCATCGTTTTTAACCATTTTAATATATCATTGTAAAGTTTGCTTTCTGATTTACTTCTGACTTGCTTTCTGGTAAATGTGATGCTTTATTTGCCGCTGACAGTAAAATTGAGAAAGCATCCTGCCTCGTATCTGTGCTTCTTTTTGATTCATTTGACGCCTCGTTATTATTATTGTCAATACCCATTAGAAATAAAACATAATGTCCAAGGCATGAAACAGCTTCAGAAGCTTGAGAATTTGGAGAGACACTCGCCAACTCGTGTTTATTTTGTCCCAACTTCACATTCACTACACAGCTTCCGTGGCTAAGATTAAGGCTTTTCAACTGGCAAAATTTTTCAAATATATTGATGAACGTCGCATCATTTCCACCCAGATTTTGATCAAAACTAAACCCAAACCAATCACAAACAGTTTTCTTGCTTACTGCATCATATATTTCACATATGACGAACATTTTGACAATTTTACTGATCGAAAACGAACGAATTTAAAATCTTGGTCACTAGACGCTGTAAACCTCAGTCTGATTTTTATGCGTTCGTCCCGTGAATATTCGACCACGATTTTCGGACGAATTTTCGTCCACAGACGTCTGCGAAATGAACTTTTTTTTATGAAAATAAGTTATTTTGAGCGGAAAGATTTTGACACGGGCGGGCGAGGATGAGAGTCTAAAGATTAATTTTCTATGGCCTAATGGGTGGTATTTATAAAAAAAAAAATGCCTGTCTTTCTTCCACTCAATAAACTGCATTAACAAAATATGAAATTCCATCAATACTATTTCTGCCAATTCATCAGAAATTATCCATTTGTTGACAGCAGAATTAAGATAGAATGATATCAAATGACCTGCTATTACGTATTTACGTCAATCATATTCGTCTAAATTCACCGCAGATGTTATACTAGTAATTGTATAATATCACAATCATTTTTATAGATTAAGTAGTCAAATGTTTAATTCAAATGTTCGATAATATGTCGATTCAAAGATCTGTCGGAAGTATTTGTCTTCTGTTATAAATGCGAGAATTTCATATACAATACAAAATATGAATTAATTATTAAAAAATATTGGAATCTTAGGTAGTTTTGAAACAACGTTTTACCTTAAAATATAAATAAGAACTACATAAATTTCATAACTGAATCCTAAATATCTTGCATTTCAGAAAAAATAAACATTGAATCTTTGTAGATTTGATTGTATTATAATTGACTTTATAAATTGTATAAGAAGTTGTAAAAGTAAAATGTCTATACATTACCAAGTTTTGTTTTGCTTGGCATTGAATTTTTTTCTGAAACTCCTTAAATGTGGATAAATTTAATGTATACTTAAAGCAACACGTTTAAAGTGGTTCTTTCGGTTTATAAAATAATATTAAACAAATCTGAAGGCAAAAGAAATTGCCTCAGAAGGCTTTTCACAAGCTAAATTCCTAACTGTGCTTTGACATTCAAACGTAATGACT